CTGCAGCCTGGACACCCGGACCGGCGGAATGAGCAGGCCCGGGGAGGATCCCAAGAGGGGTTGCCAGGGCTCTGAGTAAAGGAGTTGGTACGAGGAGTGCGCGGGTAAGGGGACTGAGGGGGAAGAGTTCTTGCAGACCATGCGGCGGGGATTTCACACGCCGTACCTGGTGGGGCGGCGGATCACTTCGCTCATTCCGCCGGCCCGTATCATGTCACCACAGGCGTTTGCCTGACCTCTTGGGTTCCTTTTGGGGCCTTTGGAGTTTGTGGGCCTCTTGGGCTTGGGGCTTCCTCGGGGCCTCTTGGGGCGGAAGGCTCGAATTGGTGGTTCGTGGTCCCCCTCTTGGGCCCCTCTTGGGGCCGTCTTGGAGGTTTCCTGGGCGTTCTTGGGCGCCTCTGGGGCCGATTCGGGGCCATCTTGGGCCGTCTTGGGACCTTCTTGAAGCCCTCTTGGGCCGTCTGTGGGCGATATTGAGGGCCTCTTGGGCTGTCCTGGAGCGTCGGGAGGCCAAACATGGTGAGAACGCCCAAATCCTTCAAAACCCACGGGGAATCAATGATTGCTGTGTCCTGGGGCCCTGAAGAGACGCTTCTTGGAGGCGTCTTTAGGCGACTTCCGAGGCGATGGACCGATCGGTCGGCGACTCGGAGCCCGCTTGGATCATCTTGGGAGCCTCTTGAGGCCCTCTTGGGGCGCTCTGAGGGTGCGGAACTCCGCCCCGCGGAGTTCCGGCATCCTTGGGCAGACCTTGCCGGCAGTCTGCCGGGACCTTGCCATGCAGGGTACTTTTTCGTCCAGGGACCCTCAGGGGCCGCCCCGCGCGCGCGAACTAGAAATACGGTTGACCAGTTACCAGAGATTCTCGCACGCCGCTGGCCTGGCGATTTTTCGGCCCTTAGGGCCCTACCCAGCCTCGGGACCGTCAGAAAACGGCTCCAGATGAGGAGCCGGTCCCGGGAAATGGGTCCAGACCTTTGGGGGGTCCACGTCATGAAGAATCATGACGTCGGAGGTCTGGGAAGGCACGCGCAGAGGGGGGTAGAGGGAGGGGGGGAGGCTTGTTAGAAGCACCCCTGCTTCTTAGACGGCGCGGGTCTTGTCTGCAGATGTAGGGCCGGCGCATCCTAAGAAGCAGCTTCCTTTTATGAAGCCCTCCCCCCTCACCTACCCCCCTTGTGCGCGCCGCCATGGCCCTCGGAAGCTTTCGGAATCCTTAAGAATGAATCCTCAGGAATCCTTCGGAATCCTTGGGAATCCCTAGGAACCCTTTGGAATCATTATGAATCCCTCGGAAATCTCAGGAATCCTTAGGAATCCCTATTTCGGGCCCCGTGACCGTCAGAAACGGATCCGGAGTAAAAGACTGCGCCAGATGGGCCCCCGTGAGGGGTTTGGGGCTTGCTTCTGAGAGCATTTCGCGTCCCCCCTTTTTGACAGATCTTTCGGGGTCCAGCTCAGACCCCTTGGCCGCCTCCAACTGCCCGCGGCTTTTCGGGCCTCCCCAGGTCGCCGACGACCGCCCTGTTTCCACCCGGGCGTGGTCCTTGACTCGCCACCCACCAAACCACCCCAACCGAACCCGAAGGCTCAGATTTACCCTCGATTTCCAGTGTGGGGGGGGTCGGGAAACATAGAAAAATCTCGTGTGGAACCCTTACCCCCCCCAACCCGAAATTCGGGTCTTCGGGTTGGGTTGGGGTGGTCCTGTAGGTAGTCATTGACACCGTCCCCTCGGGGCCCGTGGTCGGGCCTCCCGGAGCCATCACAGCTGCATCCGGGGCGGAAGCCTGCCCCTGGGGGGCTGAGTCGGGGCCGCGGGCTGGAAGAATCCTATAGGCGGTTTGTCGGGCCTCCCCAGGTCGCCGACGACCGCACTGTTTCCACCCGGGCGTGGTCCTTGACATGTCGTCCCCGTGGGGCCCATCGTCGGGCCTCCCGGAGCCATCACAGCTGCATCCGGGGCGGAAGCCTGCCCCTGGGGGGCTGAGTCGGGGCTGCGGGCTGGAAAATTCCTATCGGCGGATACCAGCCACGCGCGGAGGGGGGCTGGGGGAGGGGTGAGGGCTTCTCAGAAGCACGCCTGCTTCTTAGAAGACGCGGGGCCTTATCTGTAGATGTAAGGCCGGCGCCTTCTCAGAAGCAGCCCGCTTCTAAGAAGCCCTCCCCCCTCCCCCCACCCCCTTGTGCGCGCCGCCAAGGATACGCGGTCCGGAGGCGCTCGAAGGGCCCTGGGGCCGTCAATAGTACGGTGCTCTATCTGCACGGCATATCGCCACACTTCTCCCCCTCCGCTGCCTTTTCAAGCAGCCCTGGGCGGTGAGAAGGCGTAACGCGTGAGTCCCGACTTGCGCAGAGTCCAGATCTCTTCTGGGGCTTGGCACGCCCCCTCCTCCCCCCTCCGTGCAAGTAAACTTGCCGGAGTCATAAGACAAAAACAGCCTTTGAGAGAGTCTGGATGAAGCACCGGTTCCGGGGTGGGGGTGGGGAACACTGGGGG